CAGTATGATGTGGAGATCACATTATACTGCTTAAGTGCTTATATTTCTATTGTGTCGGTATTTTATACCATTCATTTCAAATACTGCAGTAGAAATGGATCCTTCACACACACAGAATATCTCGACCTTCTTCTAAAAGCTTACTCCGCAATAGACACAATTTTCCTCGTGACTGCATCCAAGAAATGGTCTTTCCAAGATCTACTCTTCCTCAAATTGCCAACATCAAACCTCCTTTCTCCGCAACAGCTGGAACCTACCTTGAAGAGTGTGCTGGTGACTTAAACAATGCTACAAAGGAAGCTTTTCTCCAAGACAGAACACTGGGCACGGCGCTCCGGGGCAACATGAACAGACGCACCTCCGAAATTATTCGCAGCAGTTACCACAGCGAATGTTCAACAGAAAATCAGACTTACTAGGAAACTCCAAACTCTCTGCGATAACAGTCAGTGGAAAAGTTTAGGAAGACCTGAAATTATTCAGAATCTTTCATCTCGTCCACTGTCAACCACAGAAACTGAAGCCCTCAGCTTAGGCCTCAACTTTGCAACAGGAATTGCAAAACCAAAACAAGACCTCAATTTCATCGCTAAAAACTACAGACACAATGACTCCGATTTTCAAAAAGGTTATCTTCAAGGCATCATCTCAGCGACCATCTCAACACACAGCTTCCCAGTCATACCTCGACGTTACATTATTGCACTTAAAACTTTAGCAGAAGACACGACCATCAGGGTTACCACCGCTGATAAGGGAGGTGGTGTTGTAATCATGAATACTGACGATTACAGGAACAAAATGTTCAATCTACTTAATGACTCAGATACCTACAAACCTCTCATAACAAAACATTTCTTCACAGGACTCGCCGCATTCTGAGGGACTCAGAACAAGGGAAGAAACTTCTGCACACCATTCCCAGCAACCACAGACCTGCCAGAATGTACGGCTCGCCGAAAACTCACAAGCCAGGTATCCCACTGAGGCCCATATCCTCGGGATTAGGCAGTGCTCCCCACCAGCTCTCAGGGTTTCTCGCTAAGCACCTCTCTAAACTCTTGGGTACTATCAGTCCAGCACATCTCAAACACTCGGGTGATCTTCTCAATCGCATTCGCAACATCAACATCAACATCAGGAAAAGAAACTCTCCAGTCTTGACGTAACTTCCCTATTCACCAAAGTACCTACTACACAAGCCATCGATGTCTTACGCAGAGAAATTGACGATTCACTTAATCTTCCTATTCCAGCCAGCGATTTCATCGACCTTATTGAAATATGTGTTGGGTTTACGCGTTTCTTTTTTCGAAAATCACCTCTGTCAGCAGACTTTCGGACTACCCATGGGTTCGACACTCAGTGGCGTTCTGGTGAACTTATACATGGAACATCAGGAAGCCGAGCGATTTTCCACTATTATTCCCTCTTTTGTCACCTGGCTCCGTTATGTTGACGACATTCTCATCATAACTCCCAGACGCTTCAACGTTCAAGCTCTCCAATACAAGCTCAACCAGGTCGAGCCTTCAATCCAGTTGACACTAGAAGAAGAAGTCGACAACACTCTTCCTTTCCTCGATGTTCTTCTCTGCAAAGCTGACAATGAACTTCGTTTTAAAGTCAATCGAAAACCTACCAACACGATCTTCTCCACTTCTACTCTCACCACGACACCAAAACTAAACGTGGTGTAATTATAGGCTTTTTCCTGCGTGCACTCAGAATCTGCAGCAATGAGTTCCTTGAGGAAGAATGCTCTCTTATTGAACAAGTATTTTTTAAACTTCACTATCCTCCTATATTCATTAGAGACTGCGGACGACGGGCATTAAACATCTTTAACACACCCAGAGAAGACTGCCGAGAAGAGATACAAAGTCCTCCCCACCAACACCATTGCCAAACACGTTTCCAACATCTTTTCCAATACCTCATTCCACATCCACCACCATCAAGGACATTACCAGTAACAGACAGGACAAGCTTCAAACCTCTGCAGAGGTATACACAATCCCTTGCAATGACTGCAGCAAATCATACGTCGGCGAAACATCCAGAGACCTCCAAACACGTATTTCAGAACACCAGTACGCAGACAGATCTGACGATCCAAGGAATGCCTGTGTTCAACGCCGAAATTCCCACAGCCATTTAATCAACTACAGAAACGCAGGACTTATCGCCAGAGAAGACAACATTCAATACCGAAGACTCCTGGAATCCTCACTTATCTGTATATCCAACAACTTCAACCAGAACAACGGCTTCTATAACATAGATGAACCCCTCGATAAGAAACTTCTTCATCGTACCCCACATAAAAACAAAAGAAGGGAAGAAAACGCTGCAGAAGGGCCTACTAATATCCCTTATCCAATTCTTTTTTAAAGCTCCCCAAGATTCTGTTTCTATCATCCTTCTGGGAAAAAGACTGCACATGCAGCATTTCCCCCGGGCCCGCCATGCTTTTACTTGTACCTTTCACTTTTGTTCATCTTTTTTTGTAAATTGAAAAAAGCCCATTTCCCGTGGGGGGGAAAATTGTCAGAAAAGGATCACATTATATTGTTTAAAGTGTTTTTATTTCCATAGGGGAAACCTGGGGCTTTTTTATTTATCGGGGGAGAAAAAAAGTTTAAACGGGTTTTCAATCACATAACCTCCCCCCCAGTAGTACCTTTTTTTCGGGGTTTTCTGAAAAGGGGTGGGTTTTCAGGTGCAACCCCCCTGTCTTGGTGGGGGGGTTTGTGGATGGTTGGGTTTGGGGTTTTAAAGGGGGTGGTTGTGGTTTATGGTTGTTGGGGGTTGAAGTGGTAGTGGTTGGGGGGGGTAAAAGGTGGGTAGTGGCAGTGGATGGTAGTGGTTTGGGTTGGGGGTTTTAGTGGTTTGGGGGTAGTTTAAAAAATTTGGGAGTGGTAGTGGATTGGGGGTAGTAAAGGATGGGGAAATGGTTTGGGATGGTAGTGGTGTGGGTGGTTGGTGGGTTTTGGGGTGGGAGTGGCGTGGTTTGGGAAATGGTTTTGTGGAAAGGTGGTTGTAGTGATGGTGGTAGTGTGGTGGTTGGGGAGTAAAAAAATTTGGGGTGGTAGTGGATGGTAGTGGTAGGGGGTGGTTTGGGGATGGGGTTTGGGAGTGGATGGTGGTGGAAAGGTTTGGGATTGGGGGTAGTGGTTTGGGGGTGGGTTTAAAGGTTTGGGGGGTATGGTGGTGGGTGGGAATTTGGGGGTTTGGGGGTTGGGGTGGTGGGGGTGGTTTTTGGGTGTGGTCGGTTGGGGGAGTGGATTTGGGGGTGGGAGTGGGTGTTTGGGGGTGGTTTTGGGTTTATTTGGGGGTGGTAAAATGGGTGATGGTGGGGGTTGGGGGGTGATGGTGGTGGTAAATGGGTGGTGGTAGTGGGTGATGGTGGTGGTAGTGGGTGATGGTGGTGGTAGTGGGTGATGGTGGTGGTAGTGGGTGATGGTGGTGGTAGTGGGTGATGGTTGGTGGTAGTGGGTGGTGGTAGTGGGTGATGGTGGTGGTAGTGGGTGATGGTGGTGGTAATGGGTGATGGTGGTGGTAATGGGTGATGGTGGTGGTAATGGGTGATGGTGGTGGTAGTGGGTGATGGTGGTGGTAATGGGTGATGGTGGTGATAGTGGGTGATGGTGGTGGTAATGGGTGATGGTGGTGATAGTGGGTGATGGTGGTTTAGTCACCAGAGAAATACGTTTACTGATGCTAACCTCAGTTATTAGAACATTCTCTCACTGATGAACATCCAGCTACAGATCTCTGTGGTTAAACAACGCTCCGTATATTTTTAACAATGTCTTAAAAACAGAGCAAGAACCAGTCAGAACCTTCTGTCCCCATAAAGTGTCAGAACCTTCTGTCCCCATAAAGTGTCAGAACCTTCTGTCCCCATAAAGTGTCAGAACCTTCTGTCCCCATAAAGTGTCAGAACCTTCTGTCCCCATAAAGTGTCAGAACCTTCTGTCCCCATAAAGTGGTGTCAGAACATTGTACCCCCATACAGTGGTATCAACCTTCAGCCCCATACAGTGAGGTGCCAGAACCCTCTCCCCCCATACAGTAGTGTCAGAACATTCTACCCCCATACAAGGGTGTGTCAGAACTAATAATTCAACTACCAGGCATCTCTTAAAACCATTCCAACCTGCAATTTCTAACCTGCATCATCTCTCTCTCCCGATCCCTTCAATTTACCTCCGCTCTCCCCTTACCAATAAAGGCAATCACCCCTCTCTCCTCCCTCCATCTCTCTCTCTCTCTCTCTCTCTCAAACACCTGTTTCCTGACAAACAAAACATCTCGCCCATACATTAACTTTTCTAACATCAAAAACTTTATAATCATAAAAAAAGATTAGAGTAAATATGTCGTGTGTGTATAACTGTATATACAGAACTCTCGGTGTGTGTATATAGGTACACACACCTCAGTATACACCCAGAGAGAGTGAGATACATACGTCTCGGTACATCATTACAAATACATCTACTTATAACCGAAGCTATATACCATTCTGTGTATGAAAATTAGGCACATATGCAGCATCTGGGTATCTTTAATGTAGACGTTTCGCCCTCCAGTGGCTTTATCAATACAAATACGAGGACATAATTGTAAGACAGTAGAACTTTATAGTTCTACTGTCTTCAGATTATGTCCTCGTATTTGTATTGATAAAGCCACTGGAGGGCGAAACGTCTACATTAAAGATACCCAGATGTTGCATATGTCTAATTTTCATCTTGTTGGTATTATGTACCATTCATGTACATTCTGTGTATATACATAAATATGCGCCTATCTAAGCATATACAGTTACACACCTGTTGGTGTATATATACAGATACACACATTACTCGGTTTATATTATATATATATATATATATATATATATTATATAATATATATATATATATATATATATATATATCACACACCTACTGGTGTATATTCATAGAGACATTCTCACTGTACATACTTATTTTCGTGGTTATACACAGATATACACTTCGTTGCAAGGACATCATACACAGATATACACTTCGTTGCAAGGACATCAAGGTCTGTATTTCTATACTTAACACGTATGCAGAGTTTCAAAGTAGGACTCTGCCTATCAACTTCTGAATCCTACTACTAAACTGACTTGCTTTACAAAGGTACGACTCTTGTACCTCTCTTCCTGGTACACGACTTGCTTTCCTAGACTACGACTCATTTACCTCCCTTCTTGGTATCCGACTTGCTTTACCAAGGTACGACTCTTGTACCTCCCTTCCTGGTACACGACTTGCTTTCCTAGACTACGACTCATTTACCTCCCTTCTTGGTATACGACTTGCTTTACAAAGGTACGACTCTTGTACCTCCCTTCCTGGTACGCGACTTGCTCTCCCAGACTACGACTCATTTACGTCTCTTCTTGCTTTTTCAGGGTACAACTCCTTTACCTTCCTGGTATACGGCTTGTTTTCCCAGGATACGACTCTTATACCTACCTGGTACACGAGAGAGAAAGAAAGAAAGAGAATCGCGTCAGCATACGAAAATATATTCAGTATCGAAACATGAAAATGTTCACACCCTATACAAATTACTGGAGGAATATGCGGGGAGGAAGAGGAGGAGGGAGAAGAGGAAGAGGAGTAGGGAGAAGAGGAAGAGGAGGAGGGAGAAGAGAGAATGAGTGATGCTAACGCCCTCACTGCCCACGAAGAGCCCACACTGGATGGCGATGGGTAATTCACTGTGGATAGCGACCCAATTGAACCCTTGCTCTTTATTCCTCAGTCTCCCCTCCCTGGCAAACGTAGCAACATTGGAAAAAAAAGAAAACGGGGTGCATGGATTCGATGCATACAATAACATCAAAACTGAAGATTTTTGTTTCGTGAGCCTGGCTGATTGGGTGTGTGATTGCGTGCGTGCGTGTGTGCGTGTACTCACCTATTTGTGGTTGCACGGGTCGATTCATAGCTCCTGGCCCCGCCTCTTCACTGATTGCTACTAGGTCCTCTCTCTCCCTGCTCCATGAGCTTTATCATACCTCGCCTTAAAACTATGTATGGTTCCCGCCTCCACTACGTCACTTTCTAGGCTATTCCACGGCCTGACTACTCTATGACTGAAGAAATACTTCCTAACATCCCTTTGATTCATCCGAGTCTTCAACTTCCAACTGTGACCTCTTGTGTCTGTGTCCCATCTCTGGAACATCCCGTCTTTGTCCACCTTGTCTATTCCGCGCAGTATTTTATATGTCGTTATCATGTCTCCCCTAACCCTCCTGTCCTCCAGTGTCGTCAGGCCGACTTCCCTCAACCTTTCTTCGTAGGACAATCCCCTTAGCTCTGGGCCTAGTCTTGTTGCAAACCTTTGTACTTTCTCTAATTTCTTAACATGCTTGACCAGGTGTGGATTCCAAACTGGTGCTGCATACTCCAGTATGGGCCTGACGTAAATGGTATACAGTCTTGAAAGATTCCTTACTGAGGTATCGGAACGCTATCCGTAGGTTTGCCAGACGTCCGTATGCTGCAGCAGTTATCTGATTGATGTGCGCCTCAGATGTGCTCGGTGTTATACTCACCCCCAGATCTTTTTCCTTGAGTGAGGTTTGCAGTCTTTGGCCATCTAGACTATATTGTGTCTGCGATCTTCTTTGCCCTTCCCCAATCTTCATGACTTTGCATTTGGCAGGGTTAAACTCAAGGAGCCAGTTGCTGGACCAGGCTTGTAGCCTGTCCAGGTCTCTTTGTAGTCCTGCCTGATCCTCGTCCGATTTGATTCTTCTCATTAACTTCACATCATCTGCAAACAGGGACACTTCTGAGTCTATCCCTTCCGTTATGTCATTCACATATACCAAAAACAGCACAGGTCCTAGGACTGACCCCTGTGGAACCCCGCTTGTCACAGGCGCCCACTCTGACACCTCGTCACGTACCATGACTCGTTATTGCCTCCCTGTCAGGTATTCTCTGATCCATTGCAGTGCCTTCCCTGTTGTGTGTGCCTGATCCTCTACCTTTTGCAGTAAGCTCTTGTGAGAAATTGTGTGTGTGTGTGTGTGTGTGTGTGTGTGTGTGTGTGTGTGTGTGTGTGTGTACTCACCTAATTGTACTCACCTAATTGTGGTTGCAGGGGTCGAGACTCAGCTCCTGGCCCCGCCTCTTCACTGATCGCTACTGGGTCCTCTATCTCTCTCTGCTTCCTGAGCTTTGTCATACCTCTTCTTAAAACTATGTATGGTTCCTGCCTCCACTACTTCACTTGCTAGGCTATTCCACTTGCTGACAACTCTATGACTGAAGAAATATTTCCTAACGTCCCTGTGACTCGTCTGAGTCTTCAGCTTCCAGTTGTGACCCCTTGTCCCTGTGTCCCCTCTCTGGAACATCTTATCTCTGTCCACCTTGTCTATTCCCCGCAGTATCTTGTATGTCGTTATCATGTCTCCCCTGACCCTTCTGTCCTCCAGTGTCGTCAGTCCGATTTCCCTTAACCTTTCCTCGTACGACATTCCCTTGAGCTCTGGGACTAGCCTTGTTGCAAACCTTTGTACTTTCTCTAACTTCCTGACGTTCTTGACCAGGTGTGGGTTCCAGACTGGTGCTGCATACTCTAGTATGGGCCTAACATACACAGTGTACAGTGTCTTGAACGATTCCTTATTAAGGTATCGGAACACTATTCTCAGGTTTGCCAGGCGCTCGTATGCTGCAGCGGTTATTTGGTTGTTGTGTGCCTCCGGTGATGTGCTCGGTGTTATGGTCACCCCAAGGTCTTTCTCCGAGTGAGGTCTGTAGTCTTTGTCCACCTAGCCTATACTCTGTCTGCGGTCTTCTTTGCCCCTCCCCAATCTTCATGACTTTGCATTTGGCTGGATTGAATTCGAGAAGCCAGTTACTGGACCACATGTCCAGCCTGTCCAGGTCTCTTTGCAGTCCTGCCTCATCCTCGTCCGATTTAATTCTTCTCATCAACTTCACGTCATCTGCGAACAGGGACACTTCAGAGTCTATTCCTTCCATCATGTCGTTCACATATATCAAAAATAGCACTGGTCCTAGAACTGACCCCTGTCTGACCCCGCTCGTAACAGGCGCCCACTGTGATACCTCTTCACGTACCATGACTCGTTGCTGCCTCCCTGTCAGGTATTCCCTCATCCATTGCAGTGCCCTCCCTTTTACATGCGCCTGATCCTCCAGCTTCTGCACTAATCTCTTGTGGGGAACTGTGTCAAAGGCCTTCCTGCAGTCTAGGAAAACGCAATCTACCCACCCCTCTCTCTCGTGTCTTACTTCTGTTACCTTGTCATAAAACTCCAGGAGGTTTGTGATACAAGATTTGCCTTCCATGAACCCATGCTGGTTTTCATTTATAATCTTGTTCCTTTCCAGGTGTTCGACCACTCTCCTCCTGATAATCTTCTCCATGACTTTGCACACAATACATGTCAGAGAGACAGGTCTGTAGTTTAGTGCCTCGTTTCTGTTTCCTTTCTTAAATATGGGGACTACATTAGTTGTCTTCCATTTCTCAGGTAGTTGCCCAGTTTCAAGGGATGTGTTGAAGATTGTGGTTAGAGGCACGCACAGCATCTCTGCTCCTTCTCTAAGGACCCATGGGGAGATGTTGTCCGGTCCCATCGCCTTTGAGGTGTCAAGGTCACTTAAGAGCTTCTTCACCTCCTCCTCAGTTGTTCGTATGTCATCCAACACTTGTTGGTATATTCCCTCTTGATGTTCCCTTCTGCGCTGTCTTCCCACAGCCCTTCCTGTCTCTACTGTAAAAACTTCCTTAAATCTCCTGTTCAGCTCCTCACATACCTCCTGATCATTTCTTGTGAGTTCTCCACCTTCTGTCCTTAATCTGATCACCTGGTCTTTGACTGTTGTCTTCCTCCTGATGTGGCTATACAACAGTTTCGGGTCAGTCTTGATTCTCGATGCTATGTCATTTTCATACTGTCGCTGGGCCTCCCTCCTTACCTGTGCATACTCATTCCTGGCTCTGCGACTGATCTCCCGATTTTCGTGTGTTCTCTGCCTTCTGTATTTTTTCCATTCTCTATTGCACTTTGTTTTTGCCTCCTTACACCGTCGGGTAAACCAGGGGCTCGTTCTGGTCTTCCCGTTGTTACTGTTTCCCTTGGTAATAAACCTTTCCACTGCCTCCTTGCATTTTGTTGTTACATATTCCATCATTTTATCTACTGGCTTTCCTGCCAGTTCTCTGTCCCACTGGACCTCCCGCAGGAAGTTCTTCAACCCTATGTAGTCCCCTCTTTTATAGTCAGGCTTTTCCCAGTGAACTCCTATTATTCTCTCCACTTGCAGCTCTACTATGTATTCAAAGCACAGAACCACGTGGTCGCTAGCTCCTAGGGGACTCTCATACTTGATGTCCTCAATGTCTGAGCTGCCCAGGGTGAACACAAGGTCCAATCTTGCTGGTTCATCCTCCCCTCTCACTCTGGTAGTGTCCTTAACATGTTGGTGCATGAGGTTTTCCAGCACCACGTCCAACATCCTGGCTCTCCATGTTTCGGGACCCCCATGTGGCTCCAGGTTTTCCCAGTCAATCTCCCCGTGGTTGAAATCCCCCATAACCAGCAACTTTGCTCTGCTGGAGTATGCTCTTCTTGCCACCTCAGCAAGTGTGTCCACCATTGCTCTGCTCTCTTCATATTCCTCTCTTGGCCTCCTGCAGTTCTGTGGTGGATTATACATCACTGCAATGACCACTTTGTGTTCCCCAGACTGAAGTGTACCTGTGTGTGTGTGTAAGCACATGATTATTTATAAGAACTGCAAAAAACTACGTCAAATACGACACCAGGAGTGAACAAGCCTCGATTTTGGTGTACATAGGAGAAAGAGCCACAATGTTGAGACTCAGATAATACAACTCAAGTGCTCAGTTAACTAAGGTCAGGATGGGCTCTGAACTGTTCCAATATATCAGAACTTCTAACCACACAATCAACTAGGGAGGCGCTAATATCATAAAATTAACCATTCATACAAAAAAAATTCCACTGAAAAGGCATTAATTGAAGCAAAACCCAACTTTAACATTTCTACATGAAATTATAAACCAGATTCCCTTATGAAACACGTCTTAAAAAAAAAGTACATCGTAGCATAGCTTTTAATGAAACCTCAAGACTACCACAGACGTCCTCATACACACACCAGACGTGAGGGCAAATCATAAATCTATGTTTTTCATCTCTGTGTTCCTTTAGATTTGGAAGCACGTCTCTTAATACGCCTGGATTCTCTTTACTTAAGTTTTCCAGCGAACAGTGTGGCTGGAACGAGTGATGGGGGGGGGGAGAACCTTCTGATTTACATTCCTCGCCTCATTTGTTTAGATTACAGCAGTAGTGGTAGCTCGGTATTTTTACACAACAAGTGACAGCCATGGAAGCTATCAAGACTACTTTATGCTTCATGTATTCCTACGTTCTTCTTTACTTCCTTTCTTC